ATTTTCTTTACAGCTTCTTCAATCACTTTTAAATTCTCTTTGATAGTTTTTAAGCTGTAGACTAGATCAATATCATTTATATAACTTAAAGATCATACTATTTTCATATCTATATTTTTGCATAGATATACAGTGTATATTGTAAATAAAATAAGTAAGATTAAAGATTCTTACAGTACTTCTATTTTTATCTCAGTCTTGTCTTATTTCATTTTATCAAAGAATAGTTATATGATTCTTTTAGATATAAAACAGTTAATTCACTTTATTAGAGAAAGTGATAGTTTTAACATCTTCAAAGTCTGAATTAACTTTGACTTTGAAACATGATCAAATGCTTCTTTTATATCAATAAAAACTGCAGTTGAGATCAGATCTTCATACTTTGCTATTTAAATATTATAAACAACTGAGAGAACAGTGTTAATTACAGAACACTGTTTTCTATCTCTCATTTATTCACTGAATAAAAGAGAATTACTGATAGAGTTTATAAAAGATAGTTGAGTAGCTATTATCTTTTCTAAAATCTTTTCTAGGCAGTTCAATAGAGATATTACTCTATATGACTTGAAAATTGAAGTTTTTCTATTAGATTTTGCAAGAATCACTTCAGTGACTTCTCTCCAGCATTCAGAATGATATTCACTTTTCAAGAGATTAAAAAAGAGCTCAAAATATTCATTCTTTATGTAGAAGTATATATTTTGAATAATCAAGTGATTAATTGAATCAGGACCTGTAGCAGTTTTAACAGAACTTGAGAAGATAGCTGACTCTAATTCATCTTGAGTAAAATCAGGCCATTCCCAGTCATTTTCATCAATATAGTTGAGAAGTAATATATTCCCTTTCTCTTTCTCTGAATCTGATGAGTTTTGAAAGAGAGTTCTTATAAAAGCTTGACATTTTTTCTCAAAAGAGTTTGCTGTATATGATTCATTCTGAAACTTATATTCTAAGGTTGAAAGTTTTGCTACACTTCTTGTTTTAGTATGATTAAAAGCTTTAAAAACTTCTTTTTCTTATGCTTCTTCAAGAAATTTATTACAGCAGTCTGTTTTAGCTTTTTTAATATCTGAGAAATATTCATTTCTGACAGCTTTGAACTCTTTATCAGAAATTATATCATTCTTTCAATCTCTTCTAGTAGTAGTCAATTGTTTTCTTTTAGATGTGATATTCTCATTTCATCAAGGTTTTGAATACTCAGAAGACTTTCTCTTTAAAATATTATCTTTAACACTTGCTAGAATAATAGATGTAATGAGCTTCACTCTATTCTCAAGCATTTCATTTGAGATATCTTGATCAGGATTTCAATACAGCTCACTCTATCTTGCAGATTTTAACAGTTTTATACTTTCTTCAACTGCCTTTCAGTCAGCTTTTTCAAAGTTAAACTGATTAGAGAGAAGAGGATTTTCACTCATTTGTTTCTCACTCAGTTTAATATTAAATTAAATAATCTCATGATCTGATTCTGATGTCTCATTTGAATCAATAAATCAGTTTACAAGTCTTTTTTCTATTAGATTTTATAACATGAAGATTAGATCTATAATAGATTTCTGTTTCATTTCTTTTCTAAAGAATGTTTGTTGATCAGACTTGTTAACTAAACCTATTGAATACTCAAAGATTCATTTAATCAGGTTATCAGCTCTTACTGCTCTTTTGCATTCTGAATTTCATCAAAGATGATGTGCATTGAAATCTCCTGCAATTATAGAGTTTCTTGATGAAGTTATGTTCAGAAATTCTCTATTAATTGTTCAGATGTTATTATTGTTCTTTCAATGACTTTTCATTATAGATATTTATGAGCTGTATAGTATCAAACTCATTCTCTTTATCTATAATATCACTCACTGCAGATACTGATTAAGCTGGTAGAAATTCAGAATTCTGTTCAATTATCAGTTATATCTAGACTGACCGTGTGACCGTGTCTGAGACCAGAACTAGATTTTTTGATAGTCTCATTATCAATTTGATCAATCCCATTACACAGTTTTAACATTAGATAGTAGTTTCATACTGTCTCAGTGAGACTTACTGTCTACTCTTGTCACATTTTTCAAATGAGATCATGATTTTCACTTCTCAATTTAAATTATTTTTATTGCTTTAAATGACTTTAAATCTCATTTAAGTGTTATCAAAAAGCATTACTTTTTAAAAAATTAAAAATAGTCTAAAAAAAAAAAACCTTAAAATGTCTAAAAATAGTAACTTTATATCAAGAATAAGACTAAATGAAATTAAATGAGATCACTTTCTCATTTTTTTCAAGTCATGGTTTCATTTTAAGATCTCATATATAGTCACTTTGCATGTTTTTTTAATGACTAGTCTCAGTGAAATTCATGCCAAGAAATGTATGAGATCAGATCAAATGAAATTAAATGTGAAATTCATAGTTCTAGCAGTCAGTCTAGTTATATCATCTATATAACAGATGATCTTATTATATGACAGAGCTGCTATCAAATCAAGATCTTTAAATCATTAATAGAGACTGAATATATTGTATTCTCTGAGACTATATATAAGCTTATCTGTCTTTATAAGCTTCTAGAAGACACTGAATTCATTTCATTCTGTCTTAATATTCTGAATGCTGATGATTATCTCATTTTCATCACAGTTAATAATCTCACTTATACAATTCATACTGATAATAAGTTCATTATAGAGCTATTCTCTTCTGAAGTAGTTTCATGCTACTCAAAGTATATAGAGGTTTATTTTCACATTCTTCAGAATCTTGTCTGTAAGAATAAGATATTAATTTAATATATTTCATCTACTGAGAATCTGATGAATAAGCTTACTAAGTCACTTAAAACATTGAAATATACATGTTGAAAGAAGAATATGAAGATCAAGAATTAAAAAATAATGTATCTCATGACTGATTTTTCATTATTATACATTTTCCAGTTATTTTTTATATCAGTACTTGATTTGAAGATGAATTTTATATGTAGCATCATGTATAGTTACTCTGATAAGTGAGGGTGTGAGGTCATGTGATCTGGCTTACTAATTCTTTCATTATATAACTTCTCATAAGCTAGTAATTTTTTAATTATACAAGCTTTACATCTTTTATACTTTCTTTACTGTACTTTTTCTTTTCTTTTCTGTTCTTTTCTATCTACTTATTTAATATATCTATCTTTAAGACTTTGCTCTCTTTTCTTTTGTCATGATATTTCTAAATGATTTCAAAGTATCAGAAGATGTTAAAATACTGTAATTTATAAAGAGTTTTTATATTCTGAGCTGAAATGTTCTGATTTTGTATATCTGAAATTGATAAATGTATAATAGTTGACTTTATAGATATTAGAAAAACTCTGAGAACTAAAAGTTTTCAGGTAGATGTCATAGTCTCTGACTGTATACATCTATAATTGAAGAATAATAATAATAATAACGCGCTCAACTAGTTAGTCAAATTCAACAACTACATTTGCAAATTAACATAATAATCATCAAATTCCAAGCGTGTAGAAGTGCTTAAAGCACTGGTAATTATCTGCTACCTGTCTATTCTTATCAAGGGCCTTGAGATAAACACATTTGATCTTGTTGTTATGCTGCTCGCCAAAGAAATTCACCCAGTTGACTCCCACTTCATCAAACATCATCTCTTGCACAATATTTCACAGAATCTAGGGTGTAGAGACAAAGCCGCGGTCAGAGAGCTTGTTTATATACTCTAGAAGCTTATCTTTCTGTATATCAGTGAGCTTTTTCTTATACCAGGAGGTTGCTTCATGGCAATCAAGTTACAGGCCTTTATGCCGCCGGCGCAAGGTTTCTGGGCTAATTGAGTATTTCTTCACAGTCACAGAGTAATTTGGCTTCTTCTGCGATTCAAGATCATCAATCGCGAGCTTAATCACTTCATTGTTGACCATGATATTACGCGTTGAAGTTGAACGTTGAAGGAATTTAATGATGTAAAAATTTGGCTCATTGAGTGATGAGCTACATGTCGTCATTGATCACCTTAAAATAATTAGCTTTGGTTGCTTCCGAAGCAGCCAAAGAAGGCGGCCATTCCACAGATGCCCCCTGCTGAGCGTCATTGCACATCAAATGGCAGCCCTTTGTCAAAAACCTCGCCATTAGCCAGTGTATCTGATTAGAATAAAGCACGCTATTCCTGCAGATGGGAATCAACCAAGCGAAATTTGAGAAGCCATCAAGCACGCATCTTTGGCCCAAGGCCCTCAGATCAGGCAACAATGCATGCTGGAATATCTATCTTGCTCCATTGACCGGTCACTGCTTGGTCCTTGTTAGATGTGCTGGCATTGGAGTGTTGAAAGAAGAGGGGTAATGTAATAGTTCTCCTGCCTTAAAAGTGCGATAGATATGCTGCTCTCATTCAATAATTTTCCACAAGAGCTTCAAAACTGAGATATAAAGTGATCTTAGGAGAGAGAAAGGAGATTCCTATGTAAGGATTTCACATCTATTCTAGAGCTATATCTTGCATAATGCTGATCTGCTCCTTGTACACAAGTGTAAACAAAATGACCTCTCAAAATAAGATATCCCTATCCAATGACATTAACAACAAACTTAAATCAAAACTTGCAGAGCAACAGCAGCTTCAATAAAAGACACTAGAGCTGAAAGAGTTTGTTAAATCTCTGCAAGGCCGGGTTCCTGAGTTAAAATTACTTTCTTCCAGTGCCCAAAAGTCGCGGGGGTTGTGTGATCTCGAGGAAACTTTGACTCCTGAGCAGGAAATGAGGGAGCATGAAGCGGAATTAGACGCGATCAGAGGAAGGATCATTGTCTTGCAGCAGGCTATCACATTGCTGTCGCAGCAGGGGAATTGAATAAAACAATTAAAAGGTAATCTTTCCAATTCAATGTTGCAGTTTGGCCATGATGCAGCATGCAGAGAGACTGATACCAGCCAGTGACCAAGGTATTCAAGAAGGAAGGGACCCAATAACACTTGCAATGTCAGATCATCGGCATAATTGACAGATATCTGCGAGGCCATGAATCTTGGACATGAATTTCAGGTTCTCTGGTTGTTTTCCTAGTTCGGGAACTGAGATGGGGTCAGGTTCAATCAGTTCTAGTCCTGCCAGTGCTAATTCTTTCTTGAAATCCTTAAGCTCAGACATTGTTTTCTGTAAGGCTTCCACTTGCAGTTTCCGCAGATTAAGATTAAAGAATGTTTCCACTCTCTGCTTCTTGTCTTTTCCATAATATTCCTCATCCAACAGATTCCAGTACACATTCCCAAAATAGCAAGGCTTCAAGAGTGCATATGCAATGAACATATTCCTTGACAGTAAGTTCTCTGACAGGCGCATGACTATGGAAAGAATATATTTTATCTTTTGCCCCGGGTTATAATGTGTGTCTTCTCTCTTCATCACAGCTTGCTCAAAGCGGGAAACATATACTTGAAATGCAAAGGTGTAGGGCCTTTTAGTGACAGCAGGGAGCTCTTGGCCCGTAATCCAGGAGGGTGGGAGGAACATTTGCAGAGGAATGATGTGGCTCCACTCTCAGTCAATGATTGAAACAATGTTGAGATCATTATCCACAAAGATGTTTGAAGGTTGAAGATCACCATGCATAAGGATGAATGGTCCATGATTGTCCTTGTGCTTAACTCATTCCATTACAATGCCTTGGGAAGCAAATATACCATATAGATAGTTCCATGCATCCTCTTCATTGAAAACACTATCTTTCCCGCGGTGAAAGTCATTGAAAATCAATTTCAGAATAGTGAACATATAATTAATAGTAGAAGAATAGGTCCGCTTGGGAGGCATAATCTCAGAACCCTTCATGTCACTGAGTTCTTGATCATTTAGCTCAATAGTGAGCGGCTGATTGTGTTCAAAAATCCAATTCTCATCATTGCTATTGAGTGTGAAAGCACCAATATGGTCAAATTGCTGTTGATAGAGCTGGAGGTAGATTTCTGCAAGTTGATTGAATAAATGTGACTGCAACTCATCTGAAAGACGCGGCACATCAGTTCCATGAAGAGTTTTTCCTGTAATGTGCTCCAGAGCTAAAAAAGGAAGGCCAAGAATGTTATCTCAGTTGATGGAATATTTGAAGAGATGAGGGATAGGGATGGTAGTCCTCTCAGCAATATACCTACATAATAGGATTACACTGTTAGAGCCTGACTGCAAACACAACTATTCAAATTTCTTACTTCATTGTTGCAATCTCACCTCACATTTTCTTCTCAGGAAATGCAAGACACAGTAGCAGGGGAATTCAGACCATCCATCATTCAACAGGCTCAGCAGGCTTGGTCAACTCATCATCTGGTGTTGAATTGGTTGTGGTTGTGTTCATAAAGAGAATAGGAAAGCAGATATTGTAGCTCCCCTTCTTTGATTCTGAGAAAACCCGGCAAAGTTTCTTCTCAGGATGCAAAAATGTAGCCAATTTGCAGACCAGAGCTGGATCAATTGAATTGATAAACTTCTTGACTTCTTTGTCAAGCAAATGATGAGTGAGTTGGTCCATAGCCCCTGATAGTCAACAGAAACCAGCAAGGTTCAAAAATAAGCACTTCATACTTGTAAGCAAGATCAGCGCCTCAAGATCAGTTCTGGGGAGGAGTTGATGCTGGAATAACAGCACTGCTCATGACAATGTGAAATCATGAAGCATGAAGCATAGGTAGGCTTGCTTGCAGGACAACTGAACTAGGCCGAGAGCCAATCTCAGGGTACAGTACAGAGTACAGAGTAGTTACTCCATACAGAGGACGCTATCAAAAGAATTGCACCAGCAAAAAGACAGCTAGACAGTGTCACAAATCTTGGCAGAAATTCACACTGTATTTCATATTATTATTATTATTATTATTATTCTTTCATTATAGATGTATGCAGTCAGAGAATATGACATCTACCTGAAAACTTTTAGTTCTCAGGGTTTTTCTAATATCTACAAAGCTAACTATTAGTTATACATTTGTCAATTTCAGATATGTAAAATCAGAAAATTCCAGCTCAGAATATAAAAACTAGTTATAAATTACAGTATTTTAACATCTTCTGATACTTTGAAATCATTCAGAAATAACATAATAAAAGAAAAGAGAACAAAGTCTTAAAGATAGATATATTAAATAAATAGATAGAAAAGAATAGAAAAGAAAAAGTAAAGAGAGTGTAACAGACTGCATCTGATCATAAGACTATTTCATTACACTCTATAGATTTCTGCGGAAAGCTCCAATTCTCAGTTGTCAATTCTCAGCTGAAGAACTCACAGAGTTTCTATTCTTCTGCTCTGAAGCTTCATCTTCTACATGTATATAGACTGATCATGTGACTGTGTCTGAGATCAGAATCAGAATATTTGATGATTTCATTATCAATTCAACTGATGTCACTACACAGTTTTAACATTAGATAGTAGTCTTATGCTGTCTCAGTGAAACTTACTATTTACTCTTATCACATTTTTCAAATGAGATTATGATTTTTACTTCTCAATTTAAAACATTTTTATTACTTTAAATAACTTTAAATCTCATTTAAGTGTTATCAAAAAGCATTACTTTTTAAAAAATTAAAAATAGTTTAAAAAAAACCTTAAAATGTCTAAAAAGAGTAACTTTATACTAAGAATAAGATTAAATGAAATCAAATGAAATTACTTTCTTATTTTTTTCAAGTCATGATTTCATTTTAAGATCTGATATATAGTTACTTTACATGTTTTTTTAATAATTAGACACAGCAGAATTTATATCAAGAAATGTATGAGATCAGATTAAATAAGATTAAATATGAAATTTATAATCTTAATAATTAGAGCCTGTTCAGTACGTTCATACTTTTTGAATACAATAGTGAATCTCATTAAAAATAGTATATTTATCAATTATTAGTAGCAAGTCAGTGTTATACTATTACATTATTTCACCTTAGTCCCTGCTCTGAGATGAAGAAAGAAAGCTCACAAAAATGTGTTCTTTTTGAATGAAGTTCAGAGTCAGTTCAAAAAGAACACATTTTTATAAGCTTTCTTCTAATCAATATTAATTAACTATCTTCACTATGAATACTATTCTCACTACATTGTCTCTAAAAGTGCTATTCTACACTATCACACACTGTTGAAGTTAAATACTGCTTATTCATAAGATCTTGATAAGAGATGTAAGTACAGCTGCTTAATTCACTGAACACCTGATCATTTTCATCTGTACTTTGTAAAAAGCAGCTGTATTATTAGTACAGATACTCTGCTCACTGAACAGTCATGATATTGAGACTGTACTTTTTAAAAAAAGTGAAGATCTGTACAAAAAGAACAAGTACATACAGACACACTGAACAGGCTCTTAGTCTATATATATAGATATCTACTCATTTCTATTCTTCTACTCTAAAGCTTTATCTTATATATGTATAAATATTCACTCTAATCACTGATTCTTATACTTTCTCTTTCTGTTTTTCTTTCTTAACATTTTTTACTTTTATTATATAAGATCTATATATTATATCAATCTATTCAGCATAGGTCTTTTACACTTGAAAAATGTTCATTATCTTCTAATTAGAAATGATTACTTATTGAGATATCTGAACATGTAATAACATGTAAGAAATAGAGAAATGAATAATGAGTTAAGTAAATACTGAGTCTCTAGAAGCTGCTTATCAGTCACTCTGACTCTATAATAAGATCTTATAAAGAGAATATCAGTGAAAGATCTGAGAGTTCTGACATCTTAAATATATAAGATATTTATATAATTACACTTCTTCTGATTCTGAAGAACTCTCAAATGCAGATATTATATATTCAATAAATGATATAGCTATGTCTACTGATAATATAAGAGAACTCTTGAATATGAGTATAGATACAGTATTACAGTAACTCTAAGCAATGTTAAAATTACAATAATAACAGATAGCTGATATGCATGCAACTTAATAACATTAATATAAAGAAATTCAATAATTATCTCAATAAGAAATTCCTGTACAGACAATTTCAACACTGACTGAATCAGATATAAATATAATGTGAGTACTGAAGAAATATCTAAATACTTCTATATATTTTAATACTTCTTATCTCACTCTCTATCTGTCATAGAGATTGAATATACTTGTGAAACTAAGTATAGATAAAGATGCCATCAGTTTATTAACTAATTAAAATTAATATTTCAATGATTGATTGAAAGATTATATGAAACAGAAGTTTTATTTATGAATAAAGATATATAAATCAGTGTTATACATATCTGATAATATTATTAGATCTCTTAATATTCTGTTCAGAGACACTGCTATGCAATAGAAGTGAAGTGACTATCAAGACTATAAATTTCATATTTAGTCTCATTTAATCTGCATGAATCTCACTGAGACTAGTTATTAAAAAAACATGTAAAGTGTGACAGGCTGCGTCTGATCAATTATATAGACTATTCTGTTACACTTCATAGATTGTTCTGCTTCACTCTTAAACACGTACACTCTGATTCTCAGTCATTCTCAATCACCGATTCTCAGCTGCTACAAACACATATAGATTCTTTCACTCTGAATTATTATTATTATTATTCTTCAATTATAGATGTATGCAGTCAGAGACTATGACATCTACCTGAGAATCTTTAGTTCTCAGAGTTTTTCCTATATCTATAGAGTCAACTATTATACATTTATCAATTTCAAATATGCAAAATCAGAAAATTCCAGCTCAGAATATAAAAACTGTTTATAAATTATAGTATTTCAACACCTTCTGATACTTTGAAACCATTTGAAAATATTATGACAAAGGAAAAGAGAACATAGTCTTAAAGATAGACATATTAAATAGATAGATAGAAAAGAACAGAAGAAAACAAGTACAGTAAAGAGAGACTATAACAAAATAAAATTATTAAAAGATAATGTATAGCTGTTTTAACAGACTATATCTAATCAATTTCCATCTCTTCATATTCAGATACTTCTGAATTCAGTCATTTTCTTGTAGCTACTTTAGTTTCAGATAGAAAGTCTATTAAGTATTTAATTCCTGTCTCAGTTGAGAATAAGAACCTCATTTTTAATTGATTTAAGTCATACTTCTTCTTTAATCTGACTCTGAGGCTATTGTATAATGGACAATATATTACAATATGCTCAGGATTTTCATTCACATTGCAGAATGAGCACTCTGTTGAATCAAATCTATCATCAAATCTTTGTATATAGGATTTGAAATAACCATGTTCTAGTTTCAGCTGAATTATAGATGAGAATATTTTCTTTTTACATTTAATTGAACAAGATTTCCACTTTGATTTTGTCTCAAATCTTGAATAATGTATGCTCTTCTTTTGTTTCTGCCAGCTTTCATTTCACTTGTTGAAACAAGATTCTTTTATCTTTCTCTTTATGAAAGATCAGAACACTGTTTTTTCAATAGATCTGCTTAATTATGAACTCTTTTTTGCAGCTGAATCAGCCAATTCATTGCCATGAATATTCATATGAGCAGGAACTCAATGCAGATGAATTATCTGTTTTGATGTTCTTCTCTTTTGAATTTTCAAAACTGAGTTTAAAATCAGTTCAAGATTCATTTGATCATTATGAATCTGACTATTTCTAAGTCTTTTTAAGGCAGCTTGACTATCAGAGAATATTCATGCCTCTTTCAAACTATTTCCTCTTTTATGAGATTTTATTTCAATGAGTTTGAAAGCTTTCACTATTGCAAATAGTTCAGCATCAAAGACTTCAGATCTTTCACTCTGAAGCTTCACTATGTACATTATTATATATATGTATAAATATTCACTCTGATCACTGATTTCTACACTTTCTCTTTCTTTTCTTCTCTAATATTTTTCTCTTTATTATATAAGATCTATCAATATTATACTAATCTATTCAGTGTAGATCTCTTACGCTAGAAAAACATTCATTATCTTCTTATTAGAAATGATTATTCATGCATTATCTTCTTATTAGAAATGATTATTCATTAAGAGATATCTGAACACATAAACAACATGTAAGAAATAGAGAAACAGTTAAACAGCTAAGTGAACACTGAGTTCTTCAATAGAAGCTTACTTATCAGTTATTCTAGCTCTGTAACAGAATTTTACAAAGAGAGTAAAATCTTATAAGAGAATGTCAGTGAAAGATCTGAGAGTTCTGACACTCAGATATATAAGAGATTCATACAATTATGTATCTGACAATCAATATAATTATGTCTAATGATAATATGAAACTCTCAAACGCG